AAGTACGAGAAAGATATGGAACACAAGAAACAGTGTAGCACAAAAAAAAAAAAAACCAAAAAAACCTTAAACTGGGTTTTTATAGTTATGATGTTAAAAAAAAAAGAGTTTGGCCAGGTCGCATGGCTCACGGCGTAATCCTACGCACTTAGGGAGGCCAGGCGGTGATCACCGTCCAGGTTCAGGGGTTGAGACCACAGCCTGTCAACATGGTGAAACCCCCATCTCTACTAAATACAAAATTACCGGGCTGGTGGTGTTGTGGCCTGTATAATCCCAGGCTACTCGGCGAGGCTGAGGCACTGAGAATCACGCTTGAACCTGGGAGGTGGAGGTTTGCAGTGAGCTGAGAAATTGGCGCCCTGGCACTCCAGCCTGGGTGACAGAGTGCGGCTTTCCTCTCAAAAAAAAAAAATATTATATGTATATATGCATAGTGTGTGTGTGTGTATACACACACACAGACGACACGACCCACTCATTTCGAAACATTTCTTAGAGGTCTTTCTTACTTTGTTACTTTTTTTAAATTTAGTGACAGCATCCTTTTCTTGTTTTATGTATGCAATATTGTCTCTTATCTCTCCCCGAAGAATATTTTGAGTTTATTTGAAGTTATCTTTTGCTCCCTGCATTGTTTGTTTATTTATTTATTTTTCTCTCTCTCTTAGTTTGTTTTGAACTCCCTCTTCATGTTGGAAGAGTTCCTCAGAAGTCTGGAAAGAAGCCCATGAGGATGACTGATAGGATCAGTGTGTACAGCAGGAGCATGGCCTGTCAGCAAGTAAGCCAGTGGGTGGCCAGGCAGCTCCTTGGTCAGAGGCTTCTAAATGTCAGTATCTGGAGGTCTTCTCTGTGGGTGGTTCTGATTGCCCAGGGGGACCTCCAATTGCCTTCTGGGAGTGTGTATGTCTGGCTGTTCAGTTTCTGGAGCAAGGCCAGGGAAGAGGGCAGTCATTTTGCTGTTTGCTCTGCCCACTGCCACTAAATCTCTCTGCTCCCAGCCTCTGGCAACTCACTCCTTGCATTCAATGCCTGCTGTCCTCAGTTCTGGAGCCTCTTTGATTTAATTTCTCCATAAGCTAAACCTGGAGAGGGAGAGAGCTAGTCACCCGAGAGCGCACAGGATGGGGGATGAGAACCCGGAGGTCTTACTGCTCCATATACAGACTTTGTTTTTAGTCCCCTCCCTACTGCAGCACTGAAGCCTCCAATTCCTGAGACTTTATGGGATTCCAAGAGAACCGGCCTGCTGTTCACTGGGATCTGCTTCTACAGGTTTGGAGCTACAGGTGTTGCCTTATTTCACTAAATATGGATTTTCTGCTTCTGTTTCTTGTTCTCTTTTACTTTGAGGGTGATTTAGGAGCAAAAGGGGTGACCATGTTTTTACCATAGTAAAAACTAACATCTAGACAGTTTATTAAAATTTTGAATGATTTGCTAACATTGTAAAAATCATGACATTTCATGTTATAGAGACACTAGAATGTTAGGATTGGCTGAGCACCGGTGGCTCACGCCTATAATCCCAGCACTGTGGGACGCCAAGGTGGGCAGATCATTTGAGGTCAGAAGTTCGAGACCTGCCTGGACAACATGGTGAAACCCCATCTCTACTAAAAATACAAAAATTAGCCGGATGTGGTGGCCCATGCCTTGTAGTGCCAGCTACTCGGGAGGCTGAGGCAGGAGAATCGCTTGAACCCAGGAGGTGGAGGTTGCAGTGAGCCGAGATCACACCATTATACTTCAGCCTGGGTGACACAGCGCGACTCCGTCTCAAAAAAAAAAAAAGGATTTTCCTGAACTATCAGAACACCTGACAACACTGGGCCCTTATTTCCACGTCAGCAGCTGGAGCTCAGGAGCAACTATCCTCTTTATTTTTATATTATTTAATTTTTTAATAGAGGCAGGGTCTCCCTATGTTGCCCAATCTGGTCTTGAATTCCTGGGCTCTGGCTGGGTACGGTGGCTCACACCTGTAATCCCAGCACTTTGGGAGGCCGAGGCAGGTGGATCACGAGGTCAGGAAATCGAGACCATCCTGGCCAACACGGTGAAACCCCGTCTCTACTAAAAATATAAACATTAGCCGGGCGTGGTGGTGGGCGCTTGTAATCCCAGCTACTCGGGAGGCTAAGGCAAGAGAATCGCTTGAACCCGGGAGTCAGAGGCTGCAGTGAGCCAAGATCGCCACTGCACTCCAGCCTGGTGACAGAACGAGACACCGTCTCAAAAAAAAAAAAAAGAATTCCTGGGCTCAAGGGATCCTCCTGCCTTGGCCTCCCAAAGTGCTGGGATTACAGGCATGAGCCACTGTGCACAGTCTGACTGTCCTCTTTATTCATTTATGTATGTATTTATTTTGAGACGAAGTCCCACTCTGTTGCCCAGGCTGGAGTGCAGTGGCATGATCTCAGCTCACTGCAACCTCTGCAGTGTTCAAACAATTCTCCTGCCTCAGCCTCCCAAGTAGCTGGGACTACAAGCGTGTGCCACCACACCCGGCTAATTTTTGTATTTTTAGTAGAGACGGGGTTTCACCATGTTGGCCAGGCTGGTCTCGAACTCCTGGTGTCAAGTGATCCACCTGCCTCGGCCTCCCAAAGTGCTGGGTTTACAGACATCGGCCACTGCGCCTGGAAAAGTTCTTTTTAATGTACAGTTCCAGGAGTTTTGACAAACATATACAGTAAAGTGACCACTTCCACAATCAAGATATAGGACAGGGCCGGGCGCGGTAGCTCACGCCTGTAATCCCAGCACTTTGGGAGGCTGAGGCAGGTGGATCATTTGAGGCCGGGAGTTCAAGGCCAGCCTGGCCAACATGGTGATATACATGAATTAGCTGGGCGTGGTGGCATGTGCTTGTAATCCCAGCTACTTGGGAGGCTGAGGAAGAATTGCTTGAACCTGGGACATGGAGGTTGCAGTGAGCCAAGATTGCACCACTGCACTCTAGCCTGGGCGACAGAGTGAGACTCTGTCAAAAAAAAAATAAAAGAAAAGATATAGGACAGGACAGGCACAGTGGTTCACACCTGTAATCCCAGCACTTTGGGAGGCTGAGAGGGGAGGATCACTGGAGCCCAGGAGCTGGAAACCAACCTGGTAAGATGGCAAGATCCTGTCGGTACAAAAAAATAATAATTAGCCAGGCATGGTGGCGTGAGCCTGTGGTCCCAGCCACTCGGGGGTTTGAGGCAGGAGACCCTTGAGCCCAGAAGTTCGAGGCTGCAGTGAGCTATGACTGTGCCATTACACTCGACTGGATGACAGAACAAGACTTTGTCTCTCAAAAAATACACACACACACATATATATACATAGACACGTATACAAACACACATACACACACACGAGTTCCAGTACCCATCCTCACCCCTAGTTCCCACTTGTCCTTTGTAGTCAGTCCCTCTCTCCATTCTAGTCCCTGGCAATGACCCATCTGTTTCTTGTTACCATTGTTTTGCCTTTTCCGGAATAGAATCCTCCAAAAAGTAGCCTTGAGTCTGGCTTCTCTCACTGAGCATAATGCATCTGAGATTCTGCCGTGCTGCTGTGTGTATCTGTAGCTCGTTCCTTTTTATTGCTGCGTAGTATTTCATTTTGTGAACGTACCACTTTGTGTTTATACATTTACCAGTTGAAGCCATTTTAGTTGTTTCTAGTTTTTGGTGGTTATGAATAAGACCAGTGTAAATATTTACATCCAGATTTTTGCACTTTTTTAAAATTTAGAGATAGGATCTTGCTTTGTTGCCCAAGAGCTGCTCCAGAGGCTGAGGCAGGAGAATGGCGTGAACCCGGGAGGTGGAGCTTGCAGTGAGCTGAGATCCTGCCACTGCACTCCAGCCTGGACAACAGAGCGAGACTCCGTCTCAAAAAAAAAAAAAAAAAAAAAAAAAAGAAAAGAAAAGAGAAGGAAAAAGAGGCTGGGTGTGGTGACTCACACCTATAATCCCAGCACTTTGGGAGGCTGAGACGGGTGGATCACGAGGTCAGGAGATTGAGACAATCCTGGCTAACACGGTGAAACCCCATCTCTACTAAAAAAAAAAAAAAAAAAAAAAAAAACACTAGCCGGGCGTGGGGGTGGGCACCTGTAGTCCCAGCTACTTGGGAGGCTGAGGCAGGAGAATGGCGTGAACCCGGGAGGTGGAGCTTGCAGTGAGCTGAGATCCTGCCACTGCACTCCAGCCTGGACAACAGAGCGAGACTCCGTCTCAAAAAACAAAAAGAACAAAAAAAAAAAAGAAAAGAAAAGAGAAGGAAAAAGAGGCTGGGTGTGGTGACTCACACCTATAATCCCAGCACTTTGGGAGGCTGAGATGGGTGGATTGCTTGAGGTCAGGAGTTCGAGACCAGCCTGGTCAACATGGCGAAACCTCATCTCTACCAAAAATATAAAAATTAGCTGGGGGTGGTGGAGCGTGCTTGTAATCCCACATTCTCGGGAGGCTGAGGTAGGAGAATAGCTTGAACCAGGGAGTAGGAGGTTGCAGTGAGCCCAGACTGCACCACTGCACTCCAGCCTGGCGATAGAGGGAGACTCCATCTCAAAAAAAAAAAAAAAAAAAAAATTAGCTGGGCCTGGTGGCACATGCCCTATAATCCCAGCTACTCAGGAGGCTGAGACAGGAGAACTGCTTGAACCCAGGAGGCAGAGGTTGCAGTCAGCTGAGATCGCCCCACTGCACTCTAGCTTATGCGACAAAGTGAGACTCCATCTCAAAATAAATAAATAAATAAGTAACAACGAAGAAAAAAAGAGAGTTCTTTTTATGTTCTGGCTACAAGTCTTTTATCAGATATATGTTTTGCAAGGATCATCTGGCAATCTGTCTGCTTGTTTTTTCAATCTCTTATCAGTGTCTTTAGCAAAAAACTTTGCCTAACCCGAAGTCACAAAGATTTTCTCCTGTTTTCCCCTAGGAGTCTTAGTTTTATGTTTTACATTTTGGTCTGTGATCTATTTTGAGTGAATTTTGTGATAAGGTGCAAGGTATAGGTTCATTATTTTTGCACACAGATGTCCAGTTATTCTAGCATCATCTGTTGGATGTTTGCAGTTATTATTAACACTGTCCATATTCTCAAGGCTCCTGGGCTCAGGGGTCAGCAACCGTACCTCTGGCCCCAACTGTGCAGTTCAGTCGCCTGGCCCATATGCCCCTCAAACCTAACAGCTGGGGCCTGTTGCAGTTCTTTGCTTGCAGAAGACTTTGTTTCTGGTCTCTTTACCTCTTCTCTCTCTTCCTGAAATCTGCATAAAACAAACCATGAAAGGGCAGGGTGGCCTCGTGGTCTGGCAACGTCCCTTTGAAAATAAACAAGTGCAGAAACTGAAAGGCAGCAGCTACCTCTGGGGACTACTCGAGAAAGAGTTCAGGGCCGGTGCATCCGCTGCGCGTGGCTGTCTTGCCCCGGCCGGGCGGCAGGTCGGATGTGGCAAAACCAAACAGGATCCCGATTGCTTCAGATGTCGCCTCTGGCCAGAGACCCCCGATGCCTCTGCAGCAAGCACCTAATTGTATGTATGGGGTGCAGGCAGAAGAGTTTCATGACTGAACAGCCCTCAACAGTTTGTACAGCCTTCCTCAAAGGTCCAGATTTAACTGGTTCCCACACAACCCTGGGAGGTGGGCAGGTCAGGGACAGTTACCATTACCTTACACATAAGAAAACTGAGGCACAGAAGGGTGAAGAAATAGATGGATGTGGGTTTGGAATTTTTTTTTTTTTTTTTTTTGAGGCAGAATCTCATTTCATCACCCAGGCTGGAGTGCAGTGGCGCAATCTCAGCTCACTGCAACCTCCACCTCCCAAGTTCAAGCAATTCACCTGCCTCAGCCTCCCGATAGCTGGGATCACAGGCGCCCACCAGCACTTCTGGCTACTTTTTGTATTTTTAGTAGAGACGGGGTTTCACCATGTTGGCCAGGCTGGTCTCGAAGTCCTGACCTCAGATGATCCACCCACCTTGGCCTCCCAAAGTGCTGGGATTACAGGTGTACCATGCCCAGCCACTTGGCTAACTTCTGTAATTTTGGTAGGGACAGAGTTTCACCATGTTGCCCAGGCTTTAGCAAAAAGCTTTGCCTAACCCCAAAGTCACAAAGATTTTGCCAGGCCATTTTTTTGTTTGTATGTTTTGTTTTGTTTGAGATAAGGTCTTGCTCTGTTGCCCAGGCTGGAGTGCAGTGGCACAATTTTGGCTCACTGTACTCTCCAACTCCTGGGCTCAATCAGTCCTCCCACCTCAGCCTCCTGGGTAGCTGGGACTAAAGGTGTGTATCACATGCTTGGCTAATTTTTAAATTTTTTGTAGAGATGGGGTTTGGCTATGTTGCCCAGGCTGGTCTTGAAATCCTGGCCTCAAGCCATCCTCCAGAATTCATAATTCTCTCTGCCACCCTGGCTGGAAATATCTCAAATGTCCAAAGAATGGATAAGCACATTGTAGTACACTCATCCCATGGAATATTCTCCAGCAATGAGAATGAATGACATACAATCTCACACAGTAGTATTGAATCTCACAAATACCATGTTGAGTGAAAGAAGCTAGACACACAAGAGCATATATTACATCATTCCGTGTATGTAAAGCTAAAAAATAAGCCAAATAAATCAGTGCAGGCAGAAGTCAGGGTATCGGCCACACTTAGAGGGGTAGTGACTACACAGGGATAGGAAGGGGACTCGGGATTAGTGATATTGTTTATTGATCCAGATGCAAGTCATGCAGGTGTGTTCAGTAGGTGAAAAATCATTGAGCTATACCCTTACATGTTGATTAAATATTCAGGACTGGGCACAGTGGCTCAGGCCTGTAATCCCTGTAAATACAGAGGCCAAGGTAGGAGGATCACTTGAAGCCAGGAGTTCAAGACCAGCCTGAGCAACATGGTAAAATCCAGTCTCTACAAAAAATAAAAATAAATAGCCACGCATGGCAGCCTGCACCTGTGTGGTTCCAGCTACGTGGGACCCTCACTCACGGCCTCACTCTGTCATCCAGGCTGGAGTGCAGTGGCGCCATCAGGGTTCACTGCAGCCTTGATCTCCCAGGCTCAAGTGATTCTCCCACTCAGCCTTTCAAGTTAGCTGGGACCACAGGCCAATTTATGGGCTTACTGGGAAGTAACCCATTGTAAATTGAAGAGCATCTGTATTCAACTCTGTTGTTGTATGGTGAAAGCAGCCAGGAACAATATGTAAATGAACGAGCATGGTTTGTTCCAATAAAACCTTATTTTTAAAAAATCAGGTGGACTGGGTGCAGTGGCTCAGGCCTGTAATCCCAGCACTTTGGGAGGCCAAGGCAGGCGGATCACCTGAGGTCAGGAGTTCGAGATCAGCCTGGCCAACATGGTGCAACCCCGTCTCTACTAAAGATACAAAAATTAGCTGGGCGTGGTGGCAGGCACCTGTAATCCCAGCTACTTGGGAGGCTGAGGCAGAAGAATTGCTTGAACCCCGGAGGTGGAGGTTGCAGTGAGCTGAGATCATGCCATTGCACTCCAGCTTGGGTGACAAGAGCTAGACTTCGTCTCAAAAAATAAATAAATAAATAAATAAATAAATAAAATAAAATAAAATTTAAAAAAACAGGTAGTCAGCCAGATTTGCTGATTCCTGGTCTGCTGGAAGATAGGCCGGGTTCCGAAGCCTCCTTCACTGAGTCTCTGCAGGACCCTGTCCAAGTCGCTTCCCTGGTCTGAGTTATCCTTTCTGTAAATCGAGAGGCTGATTCCCTGCTCTAAACCACCCTTTGGGGTTGCCAAGAGATCAGATGAGCTCATCACAGAGGGAGCCCAGAGGGAGAAAAGTGCAGGATTAAGAGTCTCTTAAGGTTCTCTGATGCAAAGCAGATTGCTTTTTCTGCCTAGGTCTGGAGAGAGAAAGCCATTGACCTCAAGTCGCCCAGTGCATCCATGGGTACCAGTGTCCCAGGGGCATCCCAGAGACAGGACCCACAGGCTTGGCAGCAGATCCTGGTCCTTGCCATCCCGAGGCCTCTCCCCAACCCCACCTGTGGAAAGAGAACAACAGTGAAAGGGAGACTGGAAAAATGAGTCTCTAATTGGCTGTTCCTTTGAGCCCCCGGCCAGAAGCTATTTGGGTCTGCTTTAATGACTGAGCAGCCAGTGCCCAGGGCAGGGACGTGTTGTCTGACCTCTAGCCCTCTGCTCAGTCAGGCACGTCTCTCCTTCCTGTTCCCGGGTGGGCGCATCCCACAAAGCCTGACTCAGGCTGTGCCGCATCTGGGGCATGCTGTGCGGATGACTCCAGTGTCAATCACTTGGGGAAGAGGTGGGTCTTCAGAGAGCAAAGTGTAACTGAGGGCAAACCCAAGGCAACCAGGGGAGGGCCATTCTTCCCTTCCCTGTGCCTCCTGCTCTCGGAACAGGTCTTCTGAAGATAGAGGTGCGTGAGGATAATAACGATAAAATAGCAGCTATCATTTGAGATTCACCATGTGCCAGGGTCTGCTTTGAGCACTTTACCCGTATTCACTTAATCCTCACAACAACCCTGTAGGCACCATTATTCTCCTATTATACAAATGACGAAACAGCGACCCAGAAAGGTTAAGATACTTGCCTGAGGTCACACGGCTAGGCAGTGGTGGAGCTCCCCGTGTTGAGGACTACAGAAGGGGATGCCTCGTTGGTCCAAAACAGGTCCATATGGAGGAGTGGGGGCTCACGTGGGGTAAGACCCAGTGAAAACTTGTCTAAACAATCAAGGGCATTTATTGGCTCACAAAATTGAGACGTTCCGAGGATTGTGCTGGCTTCAGGGCCGGCTGGGGCCTAGGCTCAAATGCTGCCCTTAGAAAGCACACACTCACTGTCTTTCAGCCCTTTCCTGCGATGGTTTCATTCTCAGGCTGATTCCTCCGCACGTGGAAGGAAAGATGGCTGCAGGCACTCCGTTTGAGCAACTCCAGATGCTCCAGCAGAATTCTTTCCCACCAGTTCCCACTCAGGGATGACTCTCATTGGGCCACTACGGGCCACGTGCTCGTCCCTGAGCCAATTGTGGTAGCCAGGAGGCGGGACCATGGTGATTGGCTAGGACTGGGTCATATGACCATCCTGGGAGAGGTGCCCGCCCCACTTAAGGACCGGGGGAAGGAGGGCGACCCCTATGGGAAGAAGAGGGAAACAGAACTGGATAGACAAGGTCAATGGATGTCTAATCTGAGGCTCTGGAGGAAACATACCTTCTTCACCCAGAGGAGTGAGAGAGAGAAGCTGGACTTGGCCTTTAGGGTCTGCAATCCATCCTCGGCCCCACCAGGGACCTCTGTGACACTTGTTGCCATGGCATGGACTGGAGCTTGGACCTGAGCCTTCTCTGCCTACCTCCCCCAGCTGACCCCTTCCCCACCCCACTTCCCTGCCTACTGACCGCCTTCGCATTCCCTGGGGGCACATAGGCCGTGTTGCCAACTGCTGGCCCCCTGCTTGGCCTATTGTTCCAGTTCCCTAGTTGCCCAGCTCCCACCTCCAGTCTGGTCTTTTCCAATCCATGCTATTCATTGGCAACACCATCCCCAGTCCAGCAGAGCCTTGGCTCAGAAACCTCCAGCCACTCCTTTGTGTCAAAAACGAAAAACAAGCTGCTTATCCCCAGGCCTGGTATTCCTCCGGTGTCCTAGGAGATTCCCTGACCCTTGCCATCAGAATGTCTGTATCCCCTAATTCCAAACTGTCGTCGGCATCGGAAAGCACTGGGGCTCACTTACCTGCCTGGGGGTTAAGTGTCACGTTTGAGTCATTGCTGCCTAGGGCCCAGCACAGCTCAATCAATGCCTGCAAAGCTACATTTGTAGCTCCTGGGCATGAGACTGCTCCTTGATGAAGGGAGGTGGGAGAGGAAGTTAGGGCGCTCCAGTGAGAGACACAGAGGAAGTTCCGCAGAATGACTGAGAGACAGTGATCTAGGCGGGTGGAGACAAGGGAGGCAGGGGGAAAAGGCAGAAGCCTTAGAGAAAGGAGGGAGGGATGCCGATCCAGAGAGCGAGAGCTGGGAACAGACACGCAGAGAGGGCAGAAAGGAAGCGCGGGAACGTGTGCCAGCTCAGGCATTTTTTTTTCCCTTAAGCAAACAAGGCCTCTATGATTTGTGTTTTGTCAAGCTGAACTTTCCATATCAGGAGTTTATTTAGCTGAGCAGCCAATTCTGGTAAAAACACTGGAACATGTTAAAAAGGAACGGGTAGGAAGGAGAGTCAGACAGAACAAACAGGAGAGAGCATCTGCCTGTAGCCGATCCACGCAGTGCAGCTTGGCCTAGACCCGCTGACACAATACCCCCACCCCTGCCAGCTCTCTTTAGGGGCTAGCCCAGGGCCAGGAGAGGCTGGACACAGGTGGGGAAGTCAGCTTGGGGGAAGCAGTTTGGGCCGAAAGGGTCATGGCCCTGGGAAAGGTCCAGTTCCAGCCCGACCATGTAAGTCACTAGAGGCCATTAAGACAAGTCAAGCCGAGGTTGCAGTCCACCCATGCACTAACGCCCCTGAGTCCCTGCCACAATCCAGAGCCCCCTCAGAGACAGGGAAGCCAAAACCATGTCCCTGCTGGAACCCAGGCCTCGTGGTAGACAGATCAGGTGTGGCTTTTTTTTTTTTTTTTTGAGACAGAGTCTCACTCTGTTGCACCCAGGCTGGAGTGCAGTGGCGTGATCTCAGCTCACTGCAACCTCCGCCTCCCAGGTTCAAGCCATTCTCCTGCCTCAGCCTCCCAACTAGCTGGGATTACAGGTGCATGCCACCACACCTGGCTAATTTTTGTATTTTTAGTAGACACGGGGTTTCGCCATGTTGCCCAGGCTGGTCTCAAACTCCTGACCTCAGGTGATCGCCTTTCTCGGCCTCCCAAAGTGCTGGGATTACAGGCGTGAGTCACCACACCTGGCCTCGGGTGTGGCTTTCAACCTGGGGACCTGACCGGGCATGAGAGTCCTACATGGGACTGTCCTGCTGTTTTCTCACCTGCACAAGGTGGCCGACAATACCTGCCCACAGAAAGGAGCAACTAGTGGGTTGCCTGGCATCCAGTTGGTGCTTAATAATGGCAGCTCTTATGACTGAGGAAGGCAACAGCTCCTGTGTGCAAGGAACTTGTGTGTCTTGTAGAATCAGGGTGACACAGCCATGCAGGAGAGGCTAGAGCAGCTAGAGAGGGACAACGTCATCATCGATCTGACTTTACTTACTTAAAATGTGACAAAACCACAAGGTATTCATGATTTGAAATTTTTATTTTCTGAAATGAAACCATTGTACATTGTACAAACCATATCTACTGATGGAATAAATAAGTGAAAAATTATACTGCTGTACAACACACCAAAAAAAAAAAAAAAAGTCTTGAGAGGGGAAAAAAATTAGGTAACGGTGAAAAAAGGTCTTTATGCCTCTAACCAGGTTCTCGGCGATAATGAACATTCCAAACCATGACACTGTTTGCTAATGGGAGGTCACCACCCTAGAGGAATCGGTCCACAGCCTTCCGGGTTGTAGGTGTAAGTGCCAGCACTTTGTGGAATGTGTAGCCGCAGCTTCCCCGACTTTAAGTTTTGGGGGAAATTAGGTTTGCCCTGGGAGCCCTTGAGGCCACGGGGCCTGATGTCCACGGAAGGCTTTTGCTCGGGATCCCCCGGCCCCTGGCTCGAAGCTGAAAGGTCTTAGATTCTGTGGTGGGGGGAGGGCGAGGGGCGCAGGGTGGGTGGGGGGCAGCAGCTCAGAGGAGCGACTGCGCCAGGGAAGGAAGCACATCGGATTTTTGCAGTCTCGTCATTCTGCATGGAAGGCCTTCTTGGCCAGCGTGGAGTGCAGGGCTGCTGGCGCTTTGCCTGGCATGGCCGTGGTGGGGCCCAGCTGGTCCCAATCGCCGGCCCATTCCTACCTTCAGGCACTTCAGAGAAATACTAGTGACAGCCTCGGTATGGTGGACGTCGTCTTAGTCCTCACCTGCGCCAACTCCCCTTGCCTGTCCAGAGAGGCTGCTGCCAACGGCAGGGCCACCTACGCCTCTCTGTTTCTGTAGATGTGTGTTTCATTCTCCTTCAGCTGTCTTGGTTGTAGCCTCTCGTTTCCCAAAAAAGAAAAGGAAATAAATATCCAAATTCATCTCTCACCAAAATGGAGTTTTGCTGCAAAGAAAAATGTGACTCTAACTCTACAGGATCTGGAGGTAACGCCGCCTTGAGATGCGTGGAGAGGAACCGCATCAGGTAGGTTCTGCGCCAGGATACAGGACACAGTTCTCAACAAAACTGACTGCCTAAGGGGCAAAATTGATAAGTACAAGGATTTTTTTTTTTAAGACAGAAACCTTTCAGCATTGCTAACTTCAACATTAAGATTTTCAAAGTTTTTTTGTTTGTTTGTTTTTTTCCCTTATTTCAGGAGACATTTTGCATGAGGTATTTGAAATTCAGGAACATTTTGATTCTTCTTGAAGTGCAGGAAATAGACAGGATCCCTTGAAAAAAAATAAGAGCCTCACCCTCAGAAACTCTTAAAAAATGGAATCCAGCAGACACTTCCCGTGATGGTCAGGAGAAAGATCCACACGTCAAAGGTGGTACCTGAATATGCACCAATTAGCCCCAAAAAACAACAAAACCCGCAACCCCCACCCCCCCGGTAACACACAACTCAAAGGGAGTCAGAACTCCAGTGCAGTAAAGAAAGCTTAGGAAAAGGTTTAAGGTCTGAGGAGTTCATATATTAATTAAGAGCAAACCAGGCCTCAGAACCAAACAATTAGGCAGTTCGTCCAAGGGGGCGTCTCCGTTCAGTGAGAGGAAGCTGTTCCAGCGCAGGTGCGGGATGGGAGGGAGGGGAGATTGCGTCTCTCCTTTCTGGAGGGTGTGCAAATCTTTCCAATTCCTCGACGTCTTGTTTGTGGCCTTCGAGGCCCAGCCATCAAGGCCCGCTCCCTGGTGGGGACAGACGGCATGTTCCGGGGATGAGACACGGTCCAGCTGTTGGCTCTGAGAGTCAGAACAGCCTGTGAATAGGAAAGCACATGGATTCTGACCGCTGCGATCCTGCCTCTCTGGGGCACCGGCTGGGGCGTCGGGGGAGGCAAAGGGCAGCAAGTGACTGTGGATTTGAAATCCAAGCGACGTCCTATGAGAGAAAGTTCAGCACCAGCTAATCCTGCCGCCGGCTCCCAGCCTCCCCGGCCCACTCAGTACCTTAAGGACACAGCCTTGCAGTCAGCCAGAGAAGCCATTTCGTATTTGGAGGTCTGGGAGAAAGCAGTAATGGGGGTGGTGGTGGTGGTGGTGTGGGGGGCAATAGAGAGGAAGTGCCAGAAAATTCCAAGGGCTTTGCATATCCATCTGGGCCATGGTGGGCTTGGAGACGCCCAGTCCTGAACACCCCAAGGAGGGGACAGCACAGTGAGTGCCCAGCCTGATCCAAGGAGCCGAGCCCTTGGGGACTATGCCCCAACACCTGCGTGTCCTTGGGCCCTGGTGCCTGGTACTTGGGGCATGCCTAAGGTCCCCCTGCACCTGCAAACCAGGTGGGCTAAGGAGCTCCTCCGCTCCACCCTGCCTGCTCCGATGAAGTCCTGGGGCAGGGAGGAGGGCGGTGAGTAGGGTGGCAGCTGCCGCCCGAACCAAACCAAGAGGGCACTTTGCAGAGGGGGATGCAAGAACCACCAGGATACATGCCAGAGGTCACCTCAAGGGCACAAGGCACAAAAAAAGAAAGCGGAAGGAATCGGTTGAACAGTGAAGAGCCCCGCCGAAAAGCGTTCCTGATCGGTACCACCCTCCAATAGCTTATATCGATACATAGAGAAGTGGGGAAAAAAATACAGCAGCAACACAAATGGAATCCTGGCTTCCGAGACAGTGTGCAGACACTCCTGAGCTGTCAGCCCCACCTGCCTCCCCAAGGACAGTCCCTTAAAGGTTTGAGTGTTTTGCTTCACAGCAGAGTTCTTCAGTGTCTGAGAAGTGACGCCGTTCTGGGTCTTCTTGGATTTGCACTTGGTAAACTTGAAACGTTAGTAGTTCTGTTCGCACCCAAGAGGAATCGCTGGGGCAAAGTTGCTCTAGAATTAATTGCTGATGTACCTTCCATGGAACATGGATCGGAGGCTTTAAAGCATCGTCTACATCTCTTCGGAGTTTTGTTGAGAGGCCTCCAGTTTCATCTTTTTAGAGGGTGGCACTCCTTCCAAATCCTTGGGGAGAGAAGTAAAGGGGAACACAGGTTAATAGGCCAGGAGGGCAAGTTAGGCTGGGCGG